ATTGCAAATAATATAGTTTCTGTGTGGTTATTTAGGAGTCTGGGCAGTTGGGAACACAAGCGGGCTCCTACAATATGTGAGTCACAGACTGATTCCCTATACAGTCTCACTTGGTTTTCCCAGGGAACCTCTTTATAGGAATTCTATCAGTACGTGAATAATTAAGTAAGCAAATTTTTGAACAAGGCTGGTGCACATCTTTAATACCAGCATTCAAGGGGCAAAAGCAGGCGAAGAATTTCTGTGAGTTCAAGGCCAGCCTGGTCTACAGTGAGGCCCTGTCCTCACAGGCAGAGCTTTTAACTCACTACTGACACTGAGACTGAAGTGTGTGCTGAGGGCTACTCTGCCCATGTGTGTGTCACCACCTGTCACTCCCGCTGACAGTCTCGACAGCCAGGTGTCTCTGCCCATGTGTGTGTCACCACCTGTCACTCCCGCTGACAGTCTCGACAGCCAGGTGTCTCTGCCCATGTGTGTGTCACCACCTGTCACTCCCACTGACAGTCTCGACAGCCAGGTGTCTCTTGACAGCACTTCTGCCTGCCGAGGCAGAGAAACAGAACTCTCTGAATGCTTTCCTGTCTCCTCAGGCTTCCTCCCCATTCTACTATGTGCTCTCCCACAAGCCTGGAAGGCTGCGTCTGCCCCTCCTTACCAGGCTCCACCACCATAGACCAGCAGCTGGTGCAGCCCTAGTGTTCTGCATCTGCAAACACAGCAGCAAGGCAGGAGGCGGCTCCAGCCAATAAGTGAGGTACAGCCCTGGAGCGATGCACCAACTGTGAGCACATTCCTCGTGTAAATACTGCCACCACTACGCCACCTCCACTCCCCCCCCTCCATCTCCTGGCCTCTCTTCTAATTCTTCATCTCAGTGTGTGGCACTTCCTGTAACCAACTGTGCGCTTTGGCCAACTGTGCGCTTTGATAATGCTTGAGTTTGCCCACCAAAAGCTGTGTTTGATGTTTAGTCCTCCGGGAGCTGTGGAACCTTTAAGGCCCCTGGGTTAGCTGGAGGAACGCCTTAGATGGCACTATCAGATCCCTGGCTCTGTGGCTCTCGGTGGTGGGGGGGGGGACACGTGATTCTCTCACGCACTCTGCCTGTGTGGTGCCAGCTGCCATGAGGTCTTCCCCAGAGCTGAGCAGATGCTGGTGCCATGCCCCTGAACCCGCAGAGCTGTGCACAAATCTCTTCTCAGGGTAGGAGAGATGCTCAGTGGTTAAGAGCACTGGCCACTCTTGCAGGGGACCCGGCACTTGTACGGCGGCTCACAACCTCCTGGAACTCCAATTCCAAGGGCTCCCACCCCCTCTTCTAGCCTCTGAAGGCACCAGATAGGCATGTAAAACACCCATACACATAAAACAACACAATAAAACATTTAAAAAAAAAACCATACTTCTAAAAAAATGTCACTAGGGGCTGGGAATATATCTCAGTGGTTAAGAGCAGATCAGCTATTCCTCCAGAGGACCTGAGTTCAATGTTCAGCACCCACATGGCATCTCACAACTGCCTGCCACCTTAGTTCCAGGGATCTGATGCCCTCTTCTGGCCTCTGTGGGCACTAGGCACACATGTGCATAGACACACAAGCAGGCTAAACACACATAAACATAATAATGTCACCCAGTGTCAAGTAAGTCACTATAATCATGTACTGGACCACGACAGGTACTTTCGGGCTTCTCCTTTTCCTTCACCATTTACATGAAATACAGTAACTCTAGACAAGCAATTCTACCTAAATATTTCCCAACTTCCCCATACCCCCCAGTTTTCTTTCTATCTTCCTCAGGCTATATAAACAGTCTCTAATCCACTCCCTGCCGTCAAGCCTGTCTTGCTCTTAATCTATCCTCCAGACTGACTTTAGGATGCCCATTTAAGTCACTTCCTTGCTCCCATCCTCAACAGCTCTCCACTGCGTTGGGAACAGAATGCGCACTGCTTAGGGTCAACACAAGCCTGACTGCCTCATCTGGCCCCTGCCCACCATTTCCTTCTCTACTTCAGAATCCACACAATTGCTCAGGGTTTTGGCTGCCATGCCTCAACTCTGCCCCCTCAGTGGCACCTTCTCTTCGCTGTCACTCACAGAACGTCGCTTTACCTCAACTTTTAGAGCTCCTGTGTTAGTGTTCTGCTGCCTCTGAGTCCAAGTCAGATGCTAGTGACATAGGTCTCGGGTTGCCATTTTGCGCTCCTGTACAGCACTTAGTGTGCAGATGTGGTCATGTGTTTACTACTGCTTTACCAAGGGAGGAGGCATTGGGGGATGGTTTTAAACTAGCATGCTAAGAATTACCTGGTACAGGTTCAGGTTCTTGGGCAGGAGCTTCTGCTGGCATCTGTTGGTCAGTCATCACCGCCATGTTAGGAGCTTCGGCCATCATTTGTAGAGATGGAAAGGAGTGAAAACCCTGACCTTGCTCCAGAGAATAGCTGAAAGAGCAGATGGGTAGAAGTTGTGAGTTTACGTGATCGGGTGGACAAATCTTCAGTATCCAGGTATTTTATAGCCAGACTGTAGTCATTATTCAAAGGAATAGGCGAGGAGGAAGGCTGACTCTCCAGTGCGCACTGCTCCCTGACGTTCACCAAGCACTCACCACACAAACACTGACTCTCGCTGTGTAGTGACTGGATGTGCCACTGAAGCCCGCCAGTCCTCTCTGAAACTAGATCACAGCAACTTTCTAGTAGATAGTCTTGAAGGACTATCAATCCATATGAATTAAAAATATTCACAAGTATAATTTATATCCCCATAAGCACTACTCCCCATCTTGGCACAAAGATTTCCCCATCCTAACAGTGTAACTTGGGTTTTCTTTTGGTTTGTGTGTGTGTGTGTACGTGTCTGTGTGTGTGTGCGTGTGTGTGTGTCTGTCTGTCTGTCTGTGTGTCTGTGTGTGTGTGTGTGTTTTGAGACAAGGTTTCTCTGAGTAGCCTTGGCTACTGCCTCGCAAGTGCTGGGATTAAAGGTGTGTGCCACCACTGCCTGGCTGTTTGTGTGCTTTAATGTACCCACTGGACTCGGTTTATTATTGTTGGCTTGTTTTAGTTGTTGCTTGTCACTTTCTGGACAGTAGAGGTAGATTATAAGTATCTGTTTAACTGAAGAAACAGATACCTCTGAACTGTCTTCTGAACAAGACTTACACTTCATTTAAGTAAAGCACGCAGGCCTTGTTGGGCAAGGAGATGCGCACCTGTTATCCTAACCCTGGTGAGGAGAAAGCTGGACCGTGAATACCAGCTACAGACAGATCCTGACTTGACTCAAAACATAAATCAAGCAATCAGCCAAAACCCACTCTAAACCCAAGCCTTCAAAGGAAGCAATATCCAAAAGCCTTTCTTTTCTTTTTGGTTTAAAAACAAAAACAACAACAACAAAAAAAACCAAAAAACCTATCCTAGAACTTGCTCTGTAGACCAGGCTGGCCTCGAACTCACAAGAGATCTGCCTATCTCTCCCTCTTGAGTGCTGGACTAAAGGCATGCGCCAGCACCACTGCCAGGCTCAAAAGCCTTTTTATAGTGACATAAAACTTCTCAGACTGCCATCAGCACAAAACCAAGGGACACAGATGGACCACAACAGTATCAAATAATGGCACCAAATGAAGGATGCATTCAGAGAAAAATGGAAAAGAATTTATTATTTGAAGAAAGAAAAGTTACGTTCTCTGTGGGAAGACACTCTGCCTGGTGTCTTTGTTTCTCAGTGTCTTGGGGGGAAGAAAGAAGCCGAGAAAGCAAGAGGTAAGGGCTGGAGAGACAATTGCTCTCGAGGATCCAGGTTCATTCCCAGTACCCATGTCAGCAGCCCTCAAATCCCCTGGAACTCTAGTTTCGGAACTCCATGCACACTTGCAGAGATGGGGCACATATTAAGTAAATGTTTACTTTACACTTAAGTAAAAAAGCAAAGGTTAAATGAGCTAATTCTGTAATTAGTCTTATCTCAGTAAAATGGCCAAGTTAATACCTAACTTTTAACTGCCAGGCAGTGGTGGCACACACCTTTAATCTCAACACTCCAGCAGCAGAGGCAAGCGGATCTCTGAGTACCAGGCCAGCCTGGTCTAGAGTTCCAAAATAGCCAAGGCTACACAGAAAAACCCTGTCTCAAACACACCTCCCATGAGTAACAATAGATTTTTCCACACTACCTTGCTGTGAGCTCTGCTTCCTCAGGTCTTTGTGTACCACCCTGGAAGAATGCCTTTCCCTGGCTCAGCCCATTTGAGAGCACCGTGCTAACAGCCTCATATGCCTTGACTTCCTGCCGCAAGCACACTGCGTGAAAGTGATGAGAAATACTTGGGACGGCCCTGCTCTGAACCCTGAGCTATCACGGCCCTAGAAAGGGCTTGAGCAGTATAGCCTAGACTCCCCTGATTCTTTTCAGCCTCGAAATCAACTTCATCCTGGCATTCTTCTGTGCAGTGCCGTCCGAGATCCAGCTTCACTGAGCAGAGGCCTGCAAAGGAAAGGCCTCCGGCAACTGACAGCTGCCAATACCACCACACTCAGGGCAGCTCCTCAGTTACACTTCCCTGCAAACACCCTAAGGACAGATCAGGAGCTGTGTTGTCTAGGTGATTCCAGCTCAGGCAGCCAGTGATGGTGATGAACCATTACAGGCCCCAGACCTGCCATTCTGTGTCAAACTCAAATGCTCCATGAAAGGGGCCGGTTCTCTTTTCTTCCCTCATCTGTTGGTCTCAACTGCTCCATGAGGCCTCTTTCCTTCTCAAATTGCTTTCTCTCTTAGGCCCCTTCTTCACTCCCCTCCCCATTCCCAGGGCTGATTCCTACAGCTGTCTGTGGTTTCTCAACACAAACACACACACACACACACCCCAAACACAGCATCAGCATGAAACTGAGTAGTTAGTTCCCTTCTTCTCGGGAACAAGCTACACAAGCTATTATATGAAAATGGTCCACAGCCTGTGGCCATTTTTCCTGCCTTATTTTGTTAATGCTTCACTATCCCATTCATTTAGCTCTTATTTATGAGACTGATTCAATCCATCAGTTCTACAAACCCCTCTGAAAGTTGAGCTGGGACAGACATTCCTTTCATCAGCAGGCCACTGGCACCCTGCAGCTGGTAAAGGAACAGAGTTGAGGATAGACAGATCTACAAGCCCTGCCAGGACAGACCCCTTTACAGTGTGTCCTTGAGTCTTTCACCAATGAGCCAGGCTTTCACTTCAGTCTCACAAACTGCCATCAGCCCCCACAACCCGCTTACAGAGGTGTAAAACAGCACAGCGGGGTAGGCTGGCAGAAGAGAGAATGAATGTCTTGCCTAAATGAATGAATTTGCTACAGAGAGGCACGCTAATTCTTCACTAGGCCTAATAGTTAACAGGCATCAGTTTATCCGCAGAGGCTCTGCCATCTTGTTTTTCTTATCTCAGCCGGGCGATGGGTAAGGCGGATCTCAGTGAGTTCGAGGCCAGCCTGGTCTACAAGAGCTAGTTCCAGGACAGGCTCCAAAAGCTACAGAGAAACCCTGTCTCGAAAAACAAAATAACAGCAACAAAAAGGAGTCTAAATCTCCAGACCTATACTTCGGCAACACCCCCGTGACATCATCCTCTGCAGGGTCACCAGAGAGATACAATCTCTGGATCGCTTTCCTAGCACGTTAAACACGCACACTCCACACGCGAGAGCATCCACCAAGCGACCCCGCCAACCGTGCCCCCGCT